CCTGCTTTGTGGACATAAGGCCTACTTCTAATTCTTGTAACAGGACTGAAATTTGAAAAAAGATTAAGGTAATTAAACATTTCAGAGTTGCTAGGTTTTAGAAAGCAGAGTAGAATAGTAGACTGTAGGAAGAAGTATAATTTTTTTTTTAAAAACTTTTATTCAAAGCTATCCTTGACTGATTCTAGGTCATTGTCAGTAGTATCTCAAGAAAATTTTCTTCAGGGTCCCTGACTTCCTCTTCAGTACATTTTATGTTGTTTATTTTTCCTTATTTCAAAGGGCTGGTGCTCCTGTTTGAAAAGTGATGGCAAAATCTCTGGCTGGCACCTGACATGTAGAGGGAGCACCTCCGAAAAGCGACGGTTTCTGAAATGACTCAGTAACATGTTTGCAGTAGTATGCCTCCTTTTTTGTTACTATTTTCGTTGTTGAATTTATCTTGAAATAGGTGAGAAATACATTGTAGCTACTGAAATGAACTATAACCAACTACAGAGGGATTTACATGTGGAATAAGCACTGATAGTGGTTACTTGCCAAGATGCTACTTTATTTAACTGGGGTGAGGGGGAGGGATTTAATCTACTTTCTAGGATCTTAAAAGCTTAACAAAAATATCTTGTGACTTTAAGAATGCACTAGTTTTGCTTGCTTACAGTAAGTCTTTTTGTAGCCTCAATACCTACAAGTAGTGGGTTTTTTTAAGAACAACTTTATAATTTGATTTAAGCTAATTTGTAAGATGAGGTGGTTTGAACCCTACTTATGAGTTCACTAGTACTTGCAGCAGAAAATATTTTTGTTTTTTAACCACTTAATCATCACATGGCTTCTCAGATTATTTTAAGTACCAATACTGCATTTGAAATTTCCTGATTGAGTTGACTCCCATGTCACTAACAGAAATCTGCAATCTAGGGCAGTTATGTATGCTTACAATTGTAGCAAAACACTAAGCAAAGTAAGATGGCATTAAGGGATCAGTGTGTAACAGTGAAAAACAACAGTGAAAACCCTAAAAGCTGTTAAAACTTCTCGTATGCCAGGCTTTTGTATATTTAGGCCAAATACTGGGCATCTTGCTAATGAAGAGAGTCATAACAGTTTTGCTGGACTGGTATCTGTTTTCTGAACTGCTTAAGTACTGCATTTGACACTCCACTGTTACAGGTAGCTGTAGTATATGTGCTGTATCCATTTTTAACTTGGAAATACATGCTTAAAGGTACCTGCCTCTTGATTTGCATAAGATATTTCTTTTTTAGTTTTGTAGGGTTTTAAGTGTATGGCAGAAGCGTAGTTTAATTATTGTCTTTAAGCTTGCTCCTTCATACAGGCTTCAGCTTACAGAACTGTGTTCATGCGAAAATACTACTATTCACCTACATTATTTGCGGTAACTACATGTCCTTGCAGCTGATGATGCCACTATAGCGCAGCTGTAATTTAATGTATTGAATTAATACTTTCCTCTTGGAAAGGAGTACAAAGGAGTTGTCCAAGCAGCCAGAGATCAGGTTAGGAAAGCTAAAGCCCTGGTAGAGTCAAATCTGGCCAGGGGCATCAAGGGTAACAAGGAAAGTTTCTACAGATACATCAGCAATAAAAGGAAGACTAGGGAAAATGTGGGCCCTCTCCAGAAAAAAACAGGAGACCTGGTCATGTGGGATATGGAGAAGGCTGAGGTACTCAATGAGTTTTTTTACTGCAGTCTTCAATGACAAGGGCTCTAAACACTACCCAAGTTGCAGAAGGCAAAGGAACATCTACCCACTGTAGGAGAAGAGCAGGTTTGAGACCATCAAAGGAACCTGAAATGGACTTAGTTCATCCATGGCTTCTGAGGGGAGTGGTGGAGGAAGTTGCAGAGATGTTTTATGTCATATTTGAAAAGTCACGGCACGCTGAGATTTGCACTGACTAGAAAAGGGAAACAACCCCCATTTTCAAAAAGCTTTTCTGTAAGGAAGACTTGGGGAACTACAGGCCAGTCAGTCTTGCTTCTGTGCCTAGCAAGGTAAAGGGGTAGATGCTCCTGAAGGCTCTACTAAGACACATGGAAAGGTTGGAGGTAGCTGATGGCAACCAACATGGCTTCACTGGGGCAAATCATGCCTGATAAATTTGGTGGCCTTTTACAGTGGTGTCCCTGTGTTGGTGGACAGAGGGAGAGAAACTGATCCTCCCTGGACTTGATTGAGCAGAGTGATGCTGTCCCAAACAATGTCCTGGTCTCTAAATTGGAAAGGTATGGATTCAATGGATGGACCACCCTGTGAATAAGGAATTGGCTGGATGGTTGCATTCAGAGTTGTCATCAATGGCTCACTGTCCAAATATAGGCTAGTATTGAGTGGAGTTCCCCAAAGGTCAGTACTGGGACTGGTACTGATTAGCATCTTTGTTGGTTACATGTACATTTGAATTGAGTGCACCCTCAGCAAGTTTGCTGATGACACCAAAGGCGACATGCAGGAGAGAAGGATTGCCATTGAGAGGGACCTTGACAGATTTGAGAGGTGGGTCCATGTCAGCTTCGTGAAGTTTAGTAAGGCCAAGTGCAAGGTTCCATACCTCGTTTGAAGCAATTGCAAGCACAGTTATGAATTAGGTGGAGAATGGATTGAAAACAGCCCTGAGAAGGACTTGAGAAGATTGGTTGATGGAAATGGTCAACATGATCTGGCAATATACATTTTCAGCCCAGAAAGCCAGCTGTATCCTGGGCTGCAGCAAAAGCAGTGTATTAATTGGGTATTAGAAAGAAATTTTATACTGTTAGAGTGGTGAGACACTGACACAGGTTGCCCAGGGAGGTTGTGGATGTCTCATCCCTGGAAGTGTTTGAGGCCAGGCTGAATGGGGCTTTGAGCAACCTGATCTAGTGGGGTGTGTCGCTGTTCATGGCAGGGGGGGTGGGACTAGCTGACCTTTTAAGATCCCTTCCAATCATAACCGTGAAATGATTCTATGAAAGCAGTTGCTGAAGGAGCAAACAGTGTTTCTTTCCATATTTAAATGAGTATTTCTCAAAACTGTGCCTCTTCAAAGTTGGTTTGGTTGGGTTTTTTTAATTGTTCTCTAGTATCTATAGTATCTCTTTCAATCCACTTAAATTCTGCATTTGTGTAAGATGAATCTGATACTGTGTCAGAGGTTAAACGTCATGTAGAAGCCCTGTTTTGAAGAGGGGAGAATGCAGCAAAGCTTCTTTTGAGCTTAATGAGAAGTGATATCAGAAGCTTATTGGACCTGAGACTGAAATACTGTTTTCTGAAGCACAGTTGTCTCAGTTAGCAAGACACAGGGTGTCTTGGAGAAATAGAATTAACATGGAGGTGCCAGTGAATTGTATATAAGATGCTCATTCTTACATATTTGTGTTATAGCCTTTTACAGTGTTCCTGTGGTTGGGGTCACTGCCCCTTCATATATTTGCATAAGGTACATTATTGCACCTTGTTCTTTGTGTCAAGTTTGTGGTGAGAGGTATAAGAAGAGAGTAGGTCCTGTTTGAAATTAATTCTGGCACTGCGTGTTACCTGCAAGGTAAAATTATTGTGTACCCTTCACCTTTATAGTGTGGGTTTGTTTTTTTCAGTAGTAGGGGTATTACTCTAGTGTATTTATGCAGTGCTGGCTTTATCTTCTTCCAGCTCTCCTTACTTCTAAGCAAGTTGTTCTGAGTCTGGGACTTGATGCATAGGTTGAAACCAAAAGGTTGGGAAGAGGAATTCAATAAATTGAAAACTTAAATTATCACTTTTTCTTTAATGTAGAATAGCACTGTCTTTTAATGTAACTGAAACCTTGGAGCAGCCTTACTTTGTCTTCAGATGTTAGAATATTGGATATTGCTAAAGATAACTAAATACTTCATAGTAATTTTTGTATCTTTAATCAAGCTGATTTTGTAGCTTTTGATAATCAGAATCTACTGTCTCATTTGGGTACTATAAAGTTTCTATGCATGCAGATACCTTTGGGGTTAGAAGCTATGAAATAGTACTATGAGGGGTTACTACAAATGCTACTTAAATAGGTTTGTAAATGTAATGCTTTTTTTCTGTGTTTTTCTTATGTAGACCAGCATGTTTTGGAAATTTGATCTCCATTCATCATCACACATAGATACACTTCTAGAGAGAGAAGATGTAACACTGAAGGAATTGATGGATGAAGAGGATGTTCTGCAAGAGTGCAAGGCTCAGAATCGCAAACTTATAGAGTTTCTGCTGAAGTCAGAATGCTTGGAAGACTTAGTTTCATTTATTATTGAAGAGCCACCTCAAGACATGGATGAAAAAATCCGATATAAGTAGGAAAACTTTTGGGAATTGGGGGGACTTGAAAAGGTGGAAAGAGGGGTTACCATGCCAGTTAATTTGATAATGTGTTTTGAATCCTTGGGTGCTGGTATGTAATACAACCATAGTATCTTTACAGGAAATTTGTTTGTAGAATTTTTAAATAAATAATACTAATATTTGCGTATTTTTCAAATGGCAGCCTCTCATCCACGAATGCTTCAAAAAATAATTGCTGTCCAAAGAAGGCTTACCAAAAAAATGCAGAACTTGCATGAAGAATAGTGTAGTAATGATTATTAAAAAAGTAGTTGGCTGAAAATTCCTATTTGGGTAGTATAGTTATGTGCTTGGCTTTGTTTTAATGATGACTGGTAAGGTGTTTTAAAGATGCTTATTAGAAGGTCTGTAATACTCCTTGGAAGAATACTCTTAATGTTTAATGGCTGGTGTTTTCCTTTGCAGAGCTAGAACTGTATTGATTATGGCTGTGACTAAATCTGGTTTGCTGAGAAGGTTTAGACTCAGAAGTTAACCTAGCGATTCCTAACAAAGCACTTCCGTTTCTGGCCTATTTTAGAGTTGTCTATGCAAAAAGCCATTATTTTTCTTAAGACAGTATGTAAAAAAAATAAGGTGAAATAAGCTACAGTCTTAGTTGCAGCAATTCACCATTTCTGGTAAACCAAGCCTCCTGTGTGTGTTTCTAAGTAGGGTGTGGAATTGAAGCACCTTTCACTTAAAAAATCCTAACCTACTGATGCTCTCAAAATTACCTTTTGTGTGGGTGATTGTACTGTCAAATGCAGGAAACTACTGGTGTTGGTGGTCTCTTAGTTTAATTACTTAATATTCTGAACTGTACTGTACTAGCTAGCTTTGCAGGCTTTGTTGGACTTTGACTAGTTTACTGAGTTTCTGCATAATAGCAATATGTATGTGTATATGTATATAAATCTTGAAGCTATTCCTTTTGACCATTTTCATATAATCCCTATTATATTAGAAAGAGGTAAACATACTGTTCCTGCCACAGTATCAATCAAGTACTATCACTGTGAGCTCTTAATTTTTTTTCCCTTCAAAGAAGCAGCTTCTAAAATGAGAGATCACTACTTGAACAGATGGGTTTAACAATAGATCTTGAAAGAAAAGCTTGCCCTTTCCTTTCCCCCCTTTGCTATTATTATCCTGTACTACTGAATAACAGAGTAGTAGTTCTTAAATGCAAGAACAGAGTTTGTAGGCTAAATTTGCAGTTAATGTTACCTTGCAGTAGTTTACTGCTTGCTTTAGTGCAGACCAACCCTGATTGAAAACTTGGTCAGAAGCCTTGTCAGGTTCTGAATTCACAGCTGAAAGTATGACTACTTTGAAATATGAGTGATGGTTATTTTTCATTTTCCTCAGATATCCAAACATATCATGCGAGCTGCTTACATCAGATGTCTCACAGATCAATGATAGGCTGGGAGAAGAAGAATCCTTACTTGTGAAACTGTACAGCTTCCTCTTAAATGAATCTCCTCTAAACCCTTTACTGGCCAGTTTCTTCAGCAAGGTGCTAAGTATTCTTATAAGCAGAAAACCAGAACAGGTAAATAATTACAAGCTTCCTAATTTAACAAGTGCTCTAATGAAGTTGTACCAATGGAGTCAAAAGAAGAGCATTCAACTTCCATACTAGCTGAATCATAGAATCATCCTGGTCGGAAAGGACCTTGAAGATCATCAAGTCCATCCACAACCTAAATTCACCTACTGTAACCTAATCTACCCATTCACTGCTTGAATCATGTTGCTAAGCACTATTATCTATATTTCTTTTAAAGGCTTCCAGGGATGGTGACTCCACCACTTCCCTTTTTTATGGTATGCAGAAGTTTAAAAAAATTACATCTGGATAAGTAAGATGTATGTGATTCAGATTTGCCTGAGCTAATTATGCAAGTGGTGCGTGAGTGGTTGCCCTTTGACTTAGCTCAGTATTTTATATGCTAATATTTACCTTCACCTCTAACAGTAATCATGTAAGTGAATTGAATCAGTGTGAGTGGGTCAGACTTGGTGTGAGGAATTATTATAGAACAGGGTGAGAGACATTTGGAATCTTTGTTCAGAAATGTACTGTGTCCATGCCACTTTTGCTACTCCATATGTGTATATTATTTTATCTTGCCTTGTACTGCAAGCCTTAAGTGGGAAGAGTTCTTATGAAGTTCTTACTTTCTCAATGTGGTAGAAGAGAGAAACTGAAATTGGTTGAAGTAATTTACAGTGTAAAATAGAGATAAGCATACATAGCTTACTTCTTTTTAATTTCTAGATTGTGGATTTTTTAAAGAGGAAACATGATTTTGTAGATCTCATTATTAAGCACATAGGGACCTCTGCTATCATGGACTTGCTGCTCAGGCTACTGACTTGCATAGAACCTGCACAGCCCCGGCAAGAAGTGCTGAATGTAAGTAAAATAGCTGAAAGGATTTGTATCTGACATGTGAACTGCAAGATGGCTTATCTTTTGCTGGTTTTACTAGGTTTATTTCTTAATGAGCTGAAATAAGATATGTGAGGGTTTTTTTCTTTGCTTGGAGGTGCCAGTACTTTTCCAGTGCAGCTGCAGTGCTGGTGGGCACAACTTGCAATCTGAGTGGCTGTTCTCTTTCCCAGGTCTTTAATAGCAAACTTACAACTGTCAGATGCAGTTTTAAGAATGTTTGGGACCTTATTGAATGTTCTTTGTCTTTAGAAAGTTTCTTAAAGCCTTTACACCTAAGGCTTCCTTTTTTGCAGTTGCTCAGAAAGACTTACTTTACTTTTTTTCTGAAGTATTGCTAATCCTTGTTTAGAAATATTGATGTTTGACAATCACCAGGAGTCATAACAACTTCTAATTGTGTTAATTTAATTCATTCCCTTGGGTAACATTTTTACTAACATCCACAAACAATTTTACAGTGGCTAAATGAGGAAAGAATTATTGAGAGGCTAGTGGAAATCGTACATCCATCTCAAGATGAAGATGTAAGTATTGGTCTAACACTCTTCTATCTGTTCAGCAAGTTGTTAACACAAGTATGTTATACACACGATGTCAGGATTTCTAGTTTTACTGTGTTCTGCTTTTCTTTTGGTAATCTGATTTCAGTATTTAAGTGTGGTTATTTGAGGAAGGGGGTGTGTTTTTTCCTCATTCCCCACTCCTTCTCTTTCTTCACCCCTTTATAAGATCCAGGTCAAAGCATTGTAAGTACTCAGTGTTGTTTGAAGATTCAGCTCTGTTGTTTTGCCTCCTTGATACTAGAAATAAATTGTCTCATGCTTCAGGGTTTTTTTGGTCTAAAGGTTTAGTTATGACATAAAACTATCACCTGAATGCTTGTTTTTGGTAAGGGAGAGACTTTGCCAAGTTGAAGCTTTCACCTTTTTCAGTTGAAGACTTCCAGTCCAGCATGTTATTTTTACACTGAAAACTAATGTTTTTCTGTTCCAGAGGCATTCAAATGCATCACAGTCACTCTGTGAAATTATTCGTCTAAGCAGAGACCAGATGTTACAAGTACAGGGCAGTTCAGAACCAGATCCACTGCTTGCAAGTCTAGAGAAGTAAGTTGACTTGCTGAATTTCTTATTTTCAGTTCATAAAAACCATGGTTTTTAACTTTTGACCTGGAAAATCTTTAAAATTGCAAGCTCTGCTTTTTGGGTGAATTTTCATGGCTACTCATCGCATATCTGTGTGGTTTTAAAAATAACAAGTAAGCAGGGCCTACTTGGAGGACCTCCTTGTGGAAGGGGCGTTTGTCAAATTAAAGTATTCTCTGTGCTGCCAAGGTTAGTGGAATAAAATATATGGAGGTCATCTTAATACTATACAGAGTACACATCATAGACTTTGACATAGATCTGTTATTGGGTTTGAATTAATCCAAGTGCATATTTCTGCCAGAGAAGATTCTTCTGTGTTGTCTTCTTCCTTTTGCTAGTTATGGGTTTAGGCTTTGTGCCTGTTATGGCAAGCTGAAGTAGGTTTTTGATCTGACTGAAAACTCCATTTCTGTACCATTGATTGTTGGATCAGAAAGCTAGATCAATGGAAGGAATAGGAAAATGACAGGGAGGGAGGATGGGAGTGATTTTCCTAGCAGTACCTGCTATCTTGAAATAGTTACCAGTTTCCTTTGTATTGTCCCCTTATTGATTTTACATGGGCAAATGATAGCTGTTAACAGCTTTATTGTGAAGTAGTGTTATATCTGATGCCAATGCTTTTCTCTTCAGGCAAGAAATCATAGAACAGCTTCTGTCTAATATTTTTCATAAAGAAAAAAATGAATCCGCAATAGTCAGTGCAATCCAAATACTGTTGACCTTACTTGAGACAAGACGACAGACGTAAGTGTTTTTCTTTAACTTAAATTATGTCTGCATAATTTAATCAAACTACTGTTTAGCAATAGGAACTGTTTCATGTACTTATGACTTAACCATATTTGTGGCCTGTTGTAGGTGAAGAAGTAACAAAGCAAACAGAACATTTTACCAAATGTCTGGTCTGTCTGCAGTGTTTTCTAGTAGTTAATTAAAGTGTCACTTGAGAGGACTAATTAGTCAATTAGTTTCTGGATACAAGGAATAAGCAAGTATAATGCAATGAATGGATATTGACCTTGTAAAAAGTTATTTGGAATATTTTTATAACTTCGCTTTGAGAAACTGCTGAAGAGATCTCTGAGGTACATTCAGCCTTTTTATTTTGTCCTGGATGGATGATTGAAGCTCTTCTTGTGCTTTAAAAGAGGAAAAGAACACCTGTTATGTTTAACTTGAAAATCACATTGGAGATTTCAATCACAATGAACCTAATAATACTAGGGCTAGTGTTTGGAAGAATCTTGTTTGACCATTCCTTCACACGTACATTTGCTGCCTAATGTTTTTACTTGCCTCTTCATGCTTTCTACATGTCTTGGGACCATGATGCTCTCAAAATCATACCTTAAAGATGTTTTACAACTAGTTCTTATATTAATCACCAGATTTTTCTTGTGTATGTATCAGATTTGAAGGCCATATAGAGATATGCTCTCCAGGCATGAACAATTCAACATACTTGGTCAACAAAAATGTTTTAGAAGCCATAAAAGTACGACTTCCATCTTTCCATGAACTCTTGCTTGAGCCTCCAAAAGTAAGTGAAACCTGTGTTACCAAATAAACTGAATCAAGACTGTCACTGTGTGATTGTATTTTAGGCAGGTAAAAAACCCATTTTGAAAACAAAGTAAGTGCCCAGGCTCCTTCCTAGCCTGTTGGGAGCTTTGCTGTTCATTGTTTACCCTGAGCCGACGTGTTGTGCAAATTGGCATGATTTTCCAGGTTAAATGTTAATTGGCAGAATAGCATTGACAGAACTATTGGTTTCTGAAAGCAGTGGAGATTTGACATATGTTCTTGAGGTGTGTCCTGTTTTCCACTTGGAAAACCTTTCTGGATAGGAAGTGTGAACTGTGAATGCTTCAGTTATTTGGAACTTTGGTATGGTTCACGTGAGGCCTGCACAATTTCTCTAGATTTGTCCAGGATCCAAGTAGACCGGCTCCACAGTATGCTTCCTGCACTTTAGGCATGTTAAATTCTTTGGGCTTTTTAACTGATTTAAGCAACTTAACTACCTCATAATGTTGCTGAAGATAAATACTAGATGTATAAATAGTTTTTAGTTTTCCACTCAAACTTTCACTGGCAGAATTTCAGCTGGAGCACTGCACCTTGAAGTGGGTGCCAGACTCCATAAGAGAGAAGGACCTATAGGCCAAAGTGAAAAGGAAGCCTGGAGGTGTATAAAATACAAGGAGGGGTTGTCATGTTACAAAAGGGCTAAAATAATTT